ACTATATGTGTCATGTTCCTACATCCCATAGTTAAGATAGATACGTGCTATGGTTTGAGTGCGTACCCCCAAAGTGCTGGTCCTGGCAGCCTGGTCCCCAAAGTAACAGTATTGGGAGGTGATGGGACTTTAAGAGCTGGTGCCCATCCAAGGCTGGTGAAGTCATAGGGTGCTGGCTTCAAAGGGGGTTAATGTAGTTCCCAAAGGACTGGCTGGATTCTTGAGAGTCCAGTTGTGATCAACGTAGGCTTCCCCCTGTGCTGGCCCCTTCTCCACACAACCCATTCCCTTCTCTGCCATGTTTGATGCAGCCAATGGTCTCCCACCAGAATACCAGCACCATGCTGTTGGGCCCTCCAGAATCATGAGCCACAGACTTCTTCACTTTCACAATACCCAGCCTCGGGCATGTTGTTATCGTCACCCCAAAATGGACTAAGACAATATCCTAATGATAATCATCACGATGAGACATTTGTGGAGCACGTACTCTCTTTAGGCACTACACTACGCATGTAACATGCAACGCCTCATTTAATCTCCACAACAACCCTCCAAGGTCAAAATCACAGCAATTCCCATTTTACAGATAAAGAAACAGAGGTTCAGAGAAGTGGAGTCCTTTGGCCACTTTTCCAGCTCATAAGTAGAGGGACTCCAATTCAAAAGAAGACAGGCCGGCCTCAAAGTAATGTTCACCTCTCGAGCATGCCACGTGAGCAAGAGTTCCTCCACAGAACAACGCTTCTTCACACAGCATTCATGCAAATGCCCACAAACGTTGGTCTACAGGCGTGAAAAGAGGTTGTGTAGCCACATGGCGGGTAGAGTCTGGACTTCAAAGCCAGACAGATGTGGTGGAGTTCCAACTCGCTGTCACTTGAATGATCCTGGCCTATGTCACTTAATCGCCGCCTACCTCAGTCTCCCCTCTGCCATGGGGAGATCATAATGATGGAGTTGTCACTGAGATGAATTAGTGAGCCGACTCGGGGCCCAGGGGTCAGGCGGACTGGTGCTAGCTAACCCCCAACTCAAATCCTACACCAAGTTTTTTCAGGTGGGAGCCTTGGCCAGGAGCTGGTTTAAAAGGGACTTATCAATTTGCATTTCTAATTACCTTCTAACTACCTGCCTCTGAGGACTTGCTTGGTGATTGATGTGATACCACTTAGAAATTTCTTTGAGTTCCTTAGAAGAAAAGTTTTCTGTCCAGTGCAGCTGGTGGGGTTCCCATGTCGAGCAGATCGGAAACCGACCCACGGGACTGATATGCTCCCAGGGAGTTGAAAGGGGGATTATCTTTTAAGGCTTGAGAATGTTGATGTTTGCAAATATTTTCTTGCTGCCTCTCCTAATACTGCAAATTGAGTGGAGATAATGGGCAAAGGATGACATCACACAAAACAGCAGCCTCTTAAGTGCCCGGCCGAGGAACCACTTAGAGTAATTAGGAAATCCTTAAACAAGAGTTTGGAGAGCATTGGCTAACCCTTCATGTTTCCTTTTATTTTTTTTTTCTTCCCTTTTCTGGCATTCAGCGCTAAGAGTCTGACCTTGAATAATTATCTGCCCACTGGCTTTCAGTACCAGGTGCAAAAAGGTCCCCTCGCCACCGTCTGCTTCTGTGTGGACAGTTCCATCCAACCTAAGGGCCGCTGACAGGGGGTGGCTGCTAGGGAAGGCTCAAAGCTGCACCAGGTCCCTGTGGTGCCTCAGGATAGAGGCTTGACTTTGTTTCTTTTTGGTTCCATTTTCGAAATGGCTATTTGGGCCAGAGTCGGGGGAGACTGATAAAATAGCCTCCTTCTGTTTAAGCTAGCTTGTCTCACACTCCTTGTCATGGCCACCAGAGAAAAGCTGGCTTTGTCTGGAAGACCCTGGTGAGGAGAAGGGGTAGAAAGGTTGGAAACTGTGTGCTTTGGGCACAGGCTGCGGTGAGAAGGGACAAATGGAGGAGGTGAGCCTGGGGCTGGCGTGAGGTCTTTGTTTTACTAGTTCAAGGTGTGGTGACATCTGGCCACCATTTTTCTTGCCTTAAAGATCACTATAAATATGACGATCATCATCATCGTCATCATCATGGTGAAGAAGATGCCGGGGATAGTATCATAGATCGTGATATCATGATAGATGATAGAGGTGATAGATATTACGTGGAGATTTCAGATGACAGGTAGATATAATAGGGAGAATAGATAGAACACGATTATCTATTTATAAAAGTAGTGGCTTTATCCTTGCAGCAAAGTCAGACAATATGAAAAAGTAAAAGAAAAAAAAAAAAAAGTACATGATCCTACCTCCCAGGGAAGCCCGAGGTCTTTTTTCCATGTATTTTTACATTGTTGCAATGATACTAGGAAGGTAATTTTGTATCCAGAAATTTCCTTGGTACTATGTCTTAGGCTTGTATTCATTTCTTTGAAATCCTTAGAAAATGCCCCGTGCAGATTAGGTGGACTCATTCCTCCGTTGGGCAACTCTTTATTAAGGAACTACTATGGGAAGTGGGGAGAGGTACAAGAAAGAAGAAAATCAATCTGACCTGGGCCCTTTGGGGTCACGCAGTCTAGAGGCCAGCAGGTGTTAGGCAGGTCACCACCCAGGCCTGACTTAGAACTAACAGGAAGTGCCAGGAAGGGACCGGGAAGGACGTACCTGGAGAAGCGTCTGGGGTCTGGGCTGGGAGAGAACTAGAAGGAGGAGTGGTCACGGGAGGCTCCCTTACAGCTATTGTCCAGAGGAGACTGCAGAGTTTAACCAGGCAAAGAGCCAAAGAAAAGGCTTCTAGGCAAACAACGCACCTACAGGGAAGAGGAGACCATGGGCAGCCAGCGGCAGCCACAGCCTGCTGGCCTTACGTGGCAGAGACAGGGCAAGATTAGAAGGTTTGGCCAGGGCAGAGGAGACCCAGCAACATTATCCCGAGGGCAAAAGGAACATATTGATTAAAAAACAAAACAAAACAACAACAACAAAAAAAACCTTTTTTGTTTGTTTATTTGTTTGTTTTTAAGCAGGAAAGGAACCTGATTTGTCTTTCAAGGTGCCTTAGGGTGAAGGTAGCAGAGAGACCAGCTTTCTTGGGGTCCCCAAGAAACATGGTAGTATCTCAGCCCCAGGCTTTAGTGACATCCAGTAGGACAACCCGTGGAAATGATTATGGAAGACAATTTTGCAAGGAAAATCGACAGGTCTTGGCAAAACTGGCTGGAAGTGGAGGCTGGTGAGGGAGAAGAAGATACCCAGGGTGAGTTCCAGATGTCTGACTTCCAACTCTCCTTTACACAGAAGGGGAAAACTCAGAGGTCGACCTTGGACCTTGCAACCATGACCTTGGTTTCTATTTTAGAGCCTGACTTGCTAAGCATTCTGGGAGCACAAGACAGGACCCTCTCTCTATAGATGGTCAGTTCTTATCCTCGGGAATTTGAATGACATAAAGCACAGGTGTTATTCACGAACAAAGTTACATCAGCACCGAGGTTGATATTAGCAGTCACAGTCCATCCCTTACCATGAGGTGTACTTTGTGCCCCTGACCATGGGGGACCCGGGCATCCCTACCAGCCAAGTTTCTAGACCATTTGGTGCCAGTAAGTTGTGAGCACATCCACCACTCCCAAAGGGAGGGATCTATCTGTTTTCATTCCACGTCAGACTGTTATCCACCTCGCTTTCCTGGTAACCTCAGGGAACACCATTCTTAAGAGTTATTTTCTTATGAGTCATTTCAAAAGTTCTTTAAAAGAAATAGTGTATATTTTACTTTTTTTCCCCCCTCAGGAAGTAAATGATGGCATTTGTGCCATTATAAATCATGATGAATTTCCATATTCTCTACCATAATCTTTTTTTTTTTTTTCTCTTAGAAAGGAAAATTAAGTTGCTGTACCAGGGGATCACTTTCATTATCTTTAGCATACAAATGATCTTTTAAAAAGATTTTTCCCCCTCTACATATGTACAGTATCAATGATATAATTTACATTGCATCCTTCATATTAACACTCTGATCCATCACCGCTAACAATGCGGGGTCTTTGTGCGAGGGGCTGTCGGACAAATGTTTTAGCTTGTGAGGAGAAAATTGTTAGCATTTGAATAGAGAATGGTACAGGGAGGATTAATAGCCTGCTTTGATGGATTAGAATGTAGGGAAATTGCTCAATATTAATATGAAAATGTTTGTGAATTGGTTGCAAGGTGCCATCAATGGGAAATGATTATGTCTCCAAGGCCTTATCAGTGGAGACTTGACTCTTAGCAAAGACTTCCATACAAAAGACTGATGAGAGGTGTGGAAACAGACTGGCCGCAGAGCCAGGGAAAAAGCCCTCCATTCAACCGGTGGGGTCCCCATGTCACGTTGGGTGGCCTTTCCGTAATATTGTGCATCTTTACATTAACATATCTGAATACGGATTTGTAATAAAAGACACAAGGCAGGGTGGGCCCTGTGTTATCACATCTCTCGTTTGGCCTGACCATCTTTCAAAGCTGAATCGAAAACAGGCTGGGCCTTGTCGCCTACAGAATGGTGTTCCTTGAAGGGACTTCTTTGGGTCTGTGCACAACGGTTTGCAAGAAAGTTACTTTGCAAGAATCACCCATAGTTTAAAAAAAAATCATGATGGGGAAAATCATTAATATCATTGTCAGCAAACTCCATTGGAGCAAACCCAGTTTTAGAAGGATGCCCAAAGGCTTTTTGGATATTAAAAAAAAAAAAAAAAAAAAGTCAATTCTTGCAAAATTACACTCTAGTGCTTCGAACATATGTCAGGCATTAGTTTACCTTTAGAAATATATTTCCTATTGAAAGTTCAAATCCGTGGCAAAGTGGCAACTAATAAAACGGTTGTTTCCTGGAAAGTCCTAAACATAAGCTGCCTGTTTCCCCTGCAGTGGGAGTTCCTCAGCTTCTCATCGCTGTGACACAACATCTGGAAAACCACTGAGAGGAGCACGATTGATTCTGGCTCATGGTCCCCGGGGGGGGGGGGGGGGTTCAGTCCATGATGAGCTGGTGCCTGGTGCCGTTCATTCTGGGCCTGAGGTGGGCAGGGCAAGGCGGCTGGGCTGACAGGCCTGGATGCAGAGAAAGAAGGAAGTTGAAAGGGGCCTGGACGAGCCCCACCCACCCAGGGCACACCCCCAGTGACCTACTGTGTTAGGTGTGGTGGCACGAATCTGTAATCCAAGCCACTCAGGAGGCTGAGGCAGGAGGATCTCAAGTTCAAAGCCAGCCTCAGAAACTTAGTGAGGCCCTAAGCAACTTAGTGAGAACCTGTCTCAAAATTAAAAGAAAAATTAAAAGGGCTGGGGATGTGGCTCAGTGGTTAAGCACTCCTGGGATCAATTCCTAGTATAAATGTGTGTGTGTGTGTGTACTCACACATATAGATATGTTTACTTAAACTAAACACTCTACAATGTATAGATGTATCAGAACACCACATGGGACCCCATAAATATGTATAGTTTTTATGTTTTGGTCTATCAGTTGAAATTATTTTAAGGAGTATATACAATGTCAAATTGCTTTTTCCTTAAAATGAAGAGATTCCGTGATATTTACTTGCATGTCTTAAAAACTCATAAGCCCAGTCACTATCTGTTAACCATTTACCCAACACCCACTCCTTTAACAACCTGTGGTTCTTAGGCGGATGTGACACAGTGGGTCAAAGGATTCCTATTTAATAGCCAAAGTCAATTACAGATCTGTAGGAACAGGCAGTGGCGTCCTCTTGGCATGCAGCCTTCACGTCACACATCTGCGTGTGTCCCTAGAGTCTGCTGTCTGATGACTCCCAACCTTCCTCCTTACCTCCCAGCAGCTCTGTTGACTCGGCTTCCGTCCCAGGCTGTTGGAGGGCCACCAGGCCGTGGACCGGGGGAGTGTGGGGGAGATGTGCTGTCAAGTCCAGGCCTGCTCAAGCGCGGGGTGGCTCAGCTCACCCATCCTGCTACATTATACCGACGTCCCTGCCTCCACATGCAGCTGACCGCCTCCTGGAAGATGCAGAAACCACGCTGAGATGTCTCTAGAGGCCACGGGACCCCGGATGCTTCTCCTCCCCAACACTCTCTATAAATGCTTGGCCCGAGAACCGGCTTCACCTTTCCTCGACCCAGTTGCCAGGGGTTTGATTATAGTGCTCTAAGTCACCGGTCCACCCCTTTGTACAGCCATCCTGAACCTCCACAAAATAAACACAAGCCGAAAGACAAACGCGATACCGCATGGATTTCCAGAAGGCCCTAGAACCCACGCGGGCTGCCTCCCTATTCCCCAAAATGAGAACCTATAGGCTCTGCGAGGGTTTTGGCATAACGCAAAGTAGCGCCTTCCTTACAGAGACAAGAATCGCATCCTGGGATCTCATTTGTGAGATGAGGAGCCACCGCAGCCAGCGGGCAGTCACTGGGGAGGGGGCAGTGACAGCTTCCCAGAGCCTGGCAATCTGCATTGGCCAAAGCTGACAGGCTGCACGGCCGGCCTGGGGCAGACGTGTCCCCTGCGCGCCCCTGGGATTGGCAGCTTCATTATTGCTCCTGTCAGTGTGTGTGGAGCGCCGGTGCCGCCGCGGGCCTCTCCCAGGTAGAGATGTTCATGGTGACCTATTAATTCCCAGGCGAAGACTGCGGCAGCGTGCAGCTCTGCAGCCCTTACCCCGCAGCTGAGCTTTCTCCGTTATCCCTCCAGCTTGTGGCTGAAGAGGGCCAACCTCTGTCTTCCTGGCTCTCATCTTGGCCCCAATTCTCCCTCTTGTTCTTACAAACTAAAAAACTTCTCCCTGAACTTGCACCTGTTTGGAGTTCTGCAAGAATTGCCCAGGGCCTCCCCTCGCCTCTCAGTTCCCTATTCACCCATCCCAAGCCCATTTCTTTCTGCTGCACCCTTGGGCACTTATTTCCAAATACCATGTCTGTTTAGACACAGGGTTTTCTGGTCTTGTCGGTTAGCTTCCTATTGTAGAACATGAGCCTCTGGCTCTCAAAGCATTTTCCCCACCCCCACTTCCAAGCCTGGTCACACACAGGCCACTTCCCACTGCCGTCCTCCCAACAGTTTGTATTTGATCCAATATTCCCCATTTGCATCGTGTAGTTATCATCCACAGCTGAGCCATTGATTATGCTTTGATGACATTTCCTTCTTATATAACTTTTGTTTTTCCTGGAGTTGCTAATGGCCTTGTTTTCTATGTGTCTCTTCGTAAGTCACCTATAGGCTGTCTATCAAAACTGTGAGTTGCCTCTCCGCATCTTTAAACACATGCCATTTGATTGCTCTGGGATTCTTCCGGAAGTCATCCTCCTGGAGTCCAACACCACCCCTTCTCCTGCTCGTTGTGAACCTACAGTCCTGGAGACTGGCTTCCTGAGACCTTGATGCACACCCTGGGATCCCTGCTTGCAGAGGCTTTGCCTTTCCCCGTCTTTGGGTGGGCATCATCCACTAACTTCTGACTGAGAGGACACACGGTTTTTGATACCCAGATGCCTGCTTTCGAACCTCGTCCCCAAAGACCAAGACTTCAAAACATCATAAAAATCCCACGTAGTCCTCAAAATGTTTTTGGAGCCATCAAGACAGATGGTGACTATTTCAGACTCCCAAGAGCACTGAGTTATACCGTCACAATCCGTTTCTCACTGACCTCTCAGAATGGATCCTAACAGACGCTGTGCAGCCCCTGACCCCTTGGCTAGCCCTGCCACAGGGTCACATCTTACTGTGGGAGGCGTGCGCATGTGGTGGATCCTGTATTTGAGAAGTTGAACCTAACTCAGGGCCAAGCTATTGGTTAGTGTGGACATGAATATCACACCAGGTGTGTACCAGAGCTTCTGGGACACCCACAAAACTTGTGCTTGTGGCACCAGAGACACACAAACAGAAGCTGGACCTGGAGCTCAGGGGTACTGTGCTTGCCCCGCACCAGAGAGAGAAAGAGACAGACAGAGACTGTGAAATTTTCAGTTTCCATGAGCTTAGCCCGAAATTAAATTTGCATTAAGAAATTCTTCCAATATTTGACCCTTTGTACGTTTTAAATTTTATGGTTGCATAAGTTTTGAACTCTATATGGTAGGTCAAGGGGGCAACCTAATATTTCCATGGATCTTGAAAAGTCTTAATCTGTTTGGCTTCCAATTAAGTGACTTGCTTCCTCTCCCTTCCCCTCCCCCCACCCTCCCTTGATTAAATGAAATTAATTTTTAAAACTCTGTTTTAACTTTGGTTCACTCAAAGAAATGAACTTCCAGGCATCGGTCATAAATGTCTGCAAAAAGTTCCCACCGACTGAATGCTTTATCAGTTGGAACAGAAGGAAATGGTTTTTATAGACTCATCACCAGGGCAGGCTTTTCCACCTCTCCTCTCTCTCTCTGACATTTTCCCCTGATCCTTATTCCACCCATTTCCTACAAGTTATAAGCTAGTGCCCTGGTGATGATGGTAGATGGGGAATCGATGGAATCCCACTAACTGTATCGTAGCTTATGAACCACTTTTGAGAAAGAGACAACAGCAAGTGCAAAGGTACTGTGGCCCTCTTGAGGCCCCCACTCCCTCCGTGTCCTGCCTTGTCCACTCACAGTTGGCTAATGTTACAAGTAATCCCTGGTGAAGTATTCTGGATTCATGGGGTTTACTCGTAGCTTGAAAAACATGTTCTGGAGCCTACGCCTTAATCCAAAGAGGGAAGGGAAGTGGTGCAATGTCTGATCCTGGCAAGCAAAGGACTTCCGGAGTTTTCAACCACAGAGAACAGCTCACCTGGGGAAGCCACAGGCCCACGGAAACAGGAGCTGAGATCGGGAGACCCAGCCGGCAACCCCTGCCCTGTCCTGTCACGGCTGTGTGATTGGAGCCACTTAGCCTTGCACAATGTGTCTCTTCGCTGAAATCTGAGACAACATAAAGCCTATCACACATTGGCCTGCATCTCAAGTGGAGAGGACGCAGGAAAGGGCTTTGCAATGAAATACATTCTGAAAAAGGCCTTCGCAGACCAGAGAGCATTGAAGGCCTGTTGGCTCTTACCAGGTTAATTTCATTGCTCACTATTTTGAAGCTAACGTGTCGTACTCTCAGCTCCTTCTCAGGGGTGCTGTTCTGCAACTCACTGTTCCCTACCTGTCCAAAAATTTTTTAAAAAGATCCTTTTCTTTTTAAGTATAAGGATAGACTGACTTCCTTCCTTCCTTCCCTCTTTTGCCTCCTTTCTTTCTCTCTTCCTTTCTGTGGACTCTCAGGATTTTCTTTGCTGACTCTCAGCCTGCATAATATCAACTGTGTGTGGCAGATGGATCCGGCAGGGCTTTAGGTGGCGAACCCAGAAGGGGACTGCATCCACATAAGGAGAAAGGAAGGAAGTTGGCCCGGCGGACCAGCGTGCATGGCCGTAACTCACAGGGCCTGGCACGGCCCAGGCCAAAGGTACCTGGAGCAGGTTCCAGGGCTGCCCTGCCACCTGGGGAATTTATCCTTAGGTTTCAGGACGGTCAGGAAAGCTGAGCAGGTCCCAAAGGGACAGGCTGTCACACCAGGGCAGCCGGGGAGGCACGGGGGAGTGGGAGTCAGGGGCCATTTTCTGATGAGCGTCAGCCTCTGCCCGCTGGCGTGGGCTCGCTGATGCAGACTGGCTGAACCTCTGGCTGGGAAACAGGCCAGTGAACCAGGCTGGAGAAATACTCTGAAACCCAGAGAGCTAGGGGACATCTCCGTCATCCTCAGTGACACCCCTGTGGAGCCCCGGGTGGCTGATCTGGACACTAGTGCTGCGACCAGATAGAGGATCCCCTTTTGTAGGACAGGAACATCAGACTGACCAAGGCCAGGCTGGCACCCTGATTGCCAGGGAGTCGGAGAGGGTGGTGGGCAGCCAGCCCTGCTTCCTGGTAGGACATACTCAGTGGGATCCAAGGAGGGAAGCTCTGGGGATGCCCGGTGCCCACTGTCCACCAGACGGAGGGCTTACTGTTGAGACGAAGGTGCTTTCTGCAAGTTCCTCTTGACCCCTGTTTCTCCTCTAGCTCAGCTAGAGAGTAACTGCCCAGTAAGGATGTTGTCACCACCATCACCGCCATCATCATCGCGTAAGACCTTTGAAAACCGCAAGGTCATCTGCCGAGAGTTGCGGTTAAAGGTCATCTTGGATTTTCATCTTGCTTTTTTCTCATTAAAATAGATTTGACAAGAAATGCCTGGATGAACCACTCCGGGCACCCAGACCCACATCTTCCTCTCCAAGATGTTGCACCGACATAGTAAAGAATTCTGCTGCCAGGAAAGTCGAGAGCTGTTTCACACACACCCACATTGGGTGTTCTGGTGGCTACAGTGCAAATCTCTGCCCATGTGGCGTGATAACGGGTGGCGATGGCACAGAAAGATTTCCAGATTTATTTCCAGATACTGCGTGATCTGAAATAACACGTATTCCCATCCTTTATTTTACTTAGGAGCAGATAATAGAGTTTCTTTCTTTCTTCATTTTTATATCCCTCCTGACTCTGGCATTGAACTTGGATGGTAGCTAGTGGGTGAAGATGCTTAGTGAATCAGATAGTGGGGCTAGAATTATAGGCATATGAATACGATCTAAGAAGTTATAGACAAGAGTAGGTCAAGCCTGGCAATTAGTGTTACAGGGAGGATGAACAGCTGTCCTGGTTTGCCGGGGAATGGGGAGGTGCCCAGGACGTAGGTTAAACCTGGAAAAGTCACAGGCTGAGGTGTCAGACCTGCAAGGCTCAGCTCTCTATTTATACAAAGCAAATAATAACACATGCATTATTGGGCTCTGGAAATAATATGTTAATATGTGTTTAGAATTTAGGACAGTCTTGGATCATAGAATGTAGTTGGTGAATATTAACAGATGGTAAATTCCTAGGATAATGCTTGACTGTATTATCTCTTACCATGGTCCCAAAGACTATGCTCCCATGAATATTCTTCTTAGCATTTGAAAGCCTTTTCAAAATTCTGTGTCTTA